AACGTTCATGAAATCATACAATACTGCAAGGTCATTGTTAATGTGCATTTAAGTCTTTCCAAAATTAACTTTTATTGTGAAATAATCAATTCCATAATTTACTTTAAATACATTGTGCTACCCCACGAGAGAGAGGCTAGTATTATATTGGTTCCTTAAGGAAAGATGCTGGAGTTCATTGGCTTATTGATCTTGACATGAAGGACAGTAGAAATCTCAAACACACAACATCATTTCTTCAAGTTTCATGAATGAAGGTGTCAACCAGAATGAAAAACCAAAACAAACAAACAAAACCAGAAAAGCAACCACCAGGGACAAAGCCCTTAATTCTCTGGTGAAAACAAAAAAGGGCTGGAGCTAGTGGCGTGTATAGAAGTTCACAAGAACAGCTGAGTCAATGAACACACAATCTCATGAGATTCATCTGCTGTAAAACTTCGAGATGCAATTTAAGCCCTGGTCTTCTAATGAATGAGAAGTCCCTACCACACACAAAAAGTTATGTCCACTTCTTCCTAGAATGTTTCCTGAAAATCCAGAACTGCTGGAGGCAGCCTCCTAAACTTACTGTTAAAAAGTAGGTAATTAAACATAACTTTTCTTCAAGATTATTTCCACAGTAACTTCATCTCTAATACACACATCTGCAAGTCTAGGTAAGAAATGCAGAACTACATATTCAACCTAAACTGTTACTCCAAAATACAATATTGTTAAACCAGAAAGGAACAGGGTGTTTAACAAACTGTAAAATGTTTTGACTCAAAGTGCCGTACAGCAGATGGAGCCACAAGTATGGTCTATGAATAGCCACCTACACGAGAACACAGAGAGATAATAAATATACATAACGCATCCCATCAAGTGATTATCTTAAACACCTTTTCTTTCTACTGCAAAATGACACACAGAAGTTCACTTTTGGTAACAAAAGGTCACAACAAAGCAGCTCTCCAAGTTTCCCATCAACAAAGGCTGAAAAGAAATAAAGTAATCAGCTTGCAGCGCTCATTCAAATGTCACATAATAGTTCAAGTTCTTCTTTTGACCAAATCTACAATTACGCCATCCATGTTCCTCTTAAGAGAAGACTAGAGCAGGACAGGGATGCCTGCCATCTTCATCTGAAGTGTGGGGACTGAGAAGGGACATGTTAATTTCACCATACACCACTGACAAAAGTAAAAATCAGTTTGTTTCAAACAAGATTCCTCCTGGAAGATCACATGTCCATCCATTACCACACTTCCCAAAAAACCTGTGACACTCCTCTCCTTCATCAGAAATAAGTGCACTGCAAGAGTTCCATGGGTTCCCCTTCACCTCCTCTGTGTTCCTCTCTCCCCAAAATGATCCATCTGGCTGACCAACTGAACTATGCCAACCAGATTTGGAAGTGTTCCCAAGTGCAGAATGGTTTTATTTAGCAGAGGAGAGAGTAAGTTTTCCAAATGAAATCTTTCCAACCGCAGCTCCTGTCACAATCCAAACTGGGCTGCCCAGGGAGGATCGTGGCTGTTCTGTGATTCCCTTGGGCTAAATTAAGGTGAAACGACACCAAACGATCAACCAAGTGCTTTATTGATGATAGAAACAACCTTAACTTGGCAAGCGTAACAGTAGGCAACCTGAACTAGGAAAGGACAGCAGCAGGCAACATGGGTTCTAATTGAAATATTTGTAAGAAGGAAGGAAAAAGAGGGAAGGGGGGCGGGGGGGGAGAGAGAGAGTTATCATCACCCTTGGATCCCGTGATGAGGATGATAGATGAGGTGACCCTCCGGTGGTAGGCGTGCATCTGGCTTTCTCAGAGTCGTATCTTTTATAAGCCAGTCTCCACCTCTCAATTGCATCAAGTCCATCCCCTCAACAACTTACATGGTTCTTGTTCCTGAAAGTTCTCAATCATGTGCCCGGGTGTCATTGGGGGGGGGTGGTCATGAGGGGTCTTTTGGGTGGTCTTGAGCCCCTTCCTCAAATGAACTCTGTATGACCTCTGGCCACATACAGTGAGTTGTGAGGCACATTAGAAATACAGAACTGCGCATCCTCTGACACGCATCCCCTTGCTCTGTGCCAACCGACTTCCCACTTGTGGTTTGGCATCCCCATGCAGATCTTAACTTGTTTCACCACAATGTTTGAGGCATCAACCAACTGCTACATTGTTTGAGACGTCAACATATATTAACTCTTTCAGTCTCTCACAGCTCCACAGCAGAGTAGAAACATTAATAAATTCTAAATTAATTAATTAAATTCTAAATTCTAAATAAATTAACCACCTACCTTCTCTTCCTTCCCCTGCACAGAAATAAAGGACTTGCAGGAATGGGCGACACCGACTGAAACATTGACTAATTCCCTTTTTTCCCCCTCTACTAGCTATGAGGTGATCAAAAAGAAGTATATGAATAGGCCAGCAGAGTTCTTAAGGGTTTTACAATGAAATATGCACTTTCCCAGTAGCTCGCAAGTTCAAGACCATCCAACCTGATGTTGAATCACTTGACTTTTCCCTAAATTGTATGAATTCAAAGCTTCACATGATTTACACTGGACTGTTACATATGTAATAACATCTTCTCCCTGTCACAATCGTATTTTCTCTCCTTTCCATCTGGCTAAAAATCATGGCAAATTGTGTCTAACACACAGCAAAAAAAATGAGGTATAAGACAGGACTGCCAAAACAAACAAACAAATTTAAGAACATTACCTGTTACAATTCATCAACATTTAGATACATCACCACAGGAGCATACTATTTTTTAATTCATGCTTTATTAGGAAAAAAATCCTTCTTGATTACATAAATACAGATAGTGTGCTCAAGGCATTATCATTTTAGGTACTAACTTGATTCCCAATCATAATCTGTATGCTCAAGACTAAACAATTCTGTACTTTTAATCATCTTAATTAACAATGAACTGCTAAAGGTGTAAATTTGCATGATGAGTTCTGAGAACAACTACCATGCATGACATATTTAAAGTATGATTAAAGTCAAAATTGAGAAGGTGGCATCTGTACTTAATATCCTTAAGTAGCAGCAGACAATTCTCTGGCAATACAGGCTATATTAGCTCTCATTAACACTGCAAAGCTAAGGCATTGTGAGACCTTGTGATTCTTGTGTTCTTAGAATTGTTGCCTGGTTTTGACTATTCCTTATCATCAGTAATAAGGGTCATATCCAAATTTGCAATCTGGCCTTTAGATCTCAGTCACTGAACCCCCAAAGCTATTGTTTCATTTCAATAGAAAGATTTAACTTTATTTCTTTAGGAGGAAATTTTACTTCAGCTTGCTTCCCAAGCAGCCATGATGTTTGTATTTACTCAACCAAAGATACAAGCATAAAAATCTTTTTCAGATGTTAATTTAAGCAAGCTGTGGTAAAATGGCTGAATTCTACATTTAAAAGATCTACAGTTATCCCTCTAACCGGGTCAGTTTCTGTTGATAATTCCAAAAACCTTCAGAAGTCCTGTAAATAAAAATCTTCTCTAACTGCACACGCTATTTCACATCAGTTCCATTTTTAATTTCTTGCTACAGCCTTCAAAAAATTACTACTCAAATAAGCAGTTACATTCAAAACCAGTTGTTTTCAGTGACTCTACTGAAGTTAATAATATTACAAAACAAACAAACAAAAGAACACTAATTTTGGAATCTTTGGACTAAAATACAGTTTTGTATCTCTGAAGTTCAAATGACTGTTCTGAGAGAGAAGTTCTGTATTAATCTAGACAGATATATGCTAACGTAATTTTTACTTTTACTATACTCACAGGAAAAGGCCATCATCATCTAATAACCTTGCATGTCATTAAAGAACACAAAAAATGTATCTTCATACACATACTCAGGTTATGAAATAACTGACCTAAAACAGTTGAACTAAACCAAATGTAAAACAGACTTTCAAGAAGTCAGCCAGATGCTTCTAATGTAACATATGCACACTCCCACGAGTCACAGGCCAGAACAGCTTCATCACCGATACTCTCATAATGCTAAAGAATCCAGCAGGCACAAGAATTTTCATGACAGTGTACATGTGGCAAGTGACAAACATAACAGTACACAGAAAATTTATAAAAAGCACAAACAGGTTTTTGGTTTCGTTAATAACACAGGAGAGATTTGATCAATATCCTGTACTTCAATCCAAAAGCTAAGATACTAAAGGCCCCATTTGTATGGCAAGACATTTTTGGTCACCTCCTTCTCCCCAGCCTCACACGTATACATTGAGGGTAGAATTCCAAACATTTAAAAAGCGGTAGCATATCATTTCATATGGTACCTTCCCACCCTCAACCTGGCAAGGACAGAATAGCTTAAAATTCCAGCAGGACAATGTAGCTCCAAGACATCTGTGGAGTATTTTTACAGGCTCAAACAAAATGCATCTTGTTTCCCCTCAGTTCAGACAGTAGTCCTAAACTAGAGCGATTTAGACAGGACAAAGTGAAAATAATGGACTAAGTTTCATAAACAGATTGCTTAAAGAGAAGTCCATGAAAGAAAAACAGGTCTTGCTCAGAACACTGTTTCACAAATGTCCATAAATATGAATAATGTGAAACTAGGATGAGACCAAGAACAGTGTCTACGTTCAGAAGAGGAAAATGCATGACATCTGCAAACCAGCCACATGGAAAAGGTTAAAATACCTCTTTGTCAGACTCCAAAACCTAAGTCATCAATCCCGAAGAGCAAGCCACTGTGTCACTGCCACTGTTTGGCATCCAGCACGTACTCTGAAGATCAACATTAAACAGTTTTGTAAAAGAAACATCAAAGAAACCATGTCCAAAGTGCCAAAATCAAAACTTAACTGAAGTAAACCAAATCTGCATAGCAATACTTTCTGAGAACACAGTTCCACCAGGAAAATGCTTTTCTTGGGATGAAAATCCATTTTTAATAAAACATCAAAAAAACCTTTATCCTTAAAGATCTTCTTTTTTCTCACATCCCTGTCATGTTAGCTGTTCAGCAACAATCTTCCACAATTCCTGTAGGAGTGGAAAAAAATATGTACAGCTATTTTCTCAGATCAGTAGGTTGCAATTATGAAAAAGTTCAACATGCCCACCTGAAGACAAATTTTAAGACACACCCTATACCTCCATCTACAGATCGTATCCATCTGTGGGTAGATACTAAATCCATCTATATAATCTCCTAGAACAACCACCAAATTATCTTTGAGACAGAGCAATAGATTTCTTCATTCTTGTATCATAATTTTTTAAAATAAAGAATTAGTATCATTCAAATAATTTATTTTAAAATCATTTTATTGGTGTGCATGACCTTCTGCAGTATTTTGACCAATAATCTTGCTCTTTTTCTTAGCCTGTGTTGACAAAAGCTTTCAATAATGCTAGTAAAAATACAACTGAAAAAATACTGAATTTACTGAGGAATCAAGGTCTCACAAATGTATGTCTTATACAAACACACACATGCTTCTCTATTGGACAATGAAGATGAAAAACAGAGCACTGCACTTCTGTAATTTCATGAAGTAACTGTGGCCCCTGTAATCTTACTACACGTACATACTGCAGAAGAGACAGCAATAGTATGCTGACTACAGGAACATAATTTCTTGGTAACAGATTTGCAATCCAGTACAAGATTTGCAAGGTCTCTAAAAAGATCTGTTAGATCACATTGTTCTAGAAGCTAGTAAGCTATTAGCTACCCTGCATAATGTTTATTTTAATGAATGCCACTTACCAACTGCTCAATTCGTTCATAAATGAGAAACTGGCAGAAATCAAGCTTAATGGGCTCCACAGTATATTTCATTTTTTTATCTTGGAGGTTTTCCAAATCATTCAGAGTATTTCTAAAGTGACTGTAGGCTTCACATGTAACATCCATATGTCTTAAAGTGAAGTTCAGCCTAGCAAGAGAATATTTAATTTAAAATGTCTCTCCTATACTGGCATCTTAAATAGCTATGTAACTTTCCTCAGCTAATGGAAAATGTAGGCCTTCTCAGTGTAATTAACTAACTTCGATAGCCAAAAAAAGTAACCCCCCCACTATTTCTGAAAAGCGGACAAGACTTACGTTAGCATCAATACACCAATAACTCCTGGATGAATCTTTCCATTGATTTTAAGGCACTTTGCCACAACAGAATCATTGGCTTGGCTTCCTGGACAAACAGTTGGCAACAAATCATATGAACAGCTATTGCTTACATAACTCCAGAGATTTAAGAAAAGCCTATTTATATATTAGTTTTTAAATGGACTATAACACACGACTACTTAAAAACATTCAACGATTCCCTGAATGAAAACACAAGAGACATTGTTACAGAGGTACTCAAGCTGGGAAACATACACCCTAATTCTAAGCCCCTTCATTCCACTCTGTGACCTCAAAAATATATAGCAAATGTTGTCAGGCATTATAGAATACATCAGTCTAGCCACCTATTATAGAGGTTATCTGCTGCGAGACAAAGGTAGGACAACAAAAGCCGAACTCTTGTGGAAGTCAAATTCTGAACTAATAAAAATTAAGCACGTATAAAAACAAATGCTTGTTCTGAGCATATACTGCAGCCTGTGATCAACTAATACAATGAAAATTGGAAGCCGACCTTTAATCAGATCAGATGTTTCTTCCAAATAAAGAAAGCACGTAAAGTTTTTAGTGCTTTATATTTTAAGTTCTTGGCAATACTTACCTCTTTTCTAATGCTAGGTAAACCGTGCAAGAATTTCTCAAGTTGTGTGTGATTCTGTACAGCGTTCTGAACAGGGCATCTGTCAGGTCATCATCATAGAACACTAAAAAAAAAAAGATTAAGAGTATAAAATATGTATGTTTAAGTGTATTATCTACTTATGTCTCAGGTATGAAATAACAACAGGCCTTAGTTTGATCATTCTAATCAAACAAATCACTATTTTAACTAAATCCCAAAGTATATTTTTAATGGCAACAACTGACCCTGTAATAGTCTCCACTGCTGCTATTTATGTCAGGCTTTCTTTAAGATTTCTCTCATATCAATGGGAATCACTTCTGTCAGACAACTTACAAAACTTTAACAAGATTTCTCACAGCCTGGAAATACCCTACTGCAAAGCTAAAAGACAGGATATCACAATGTATAGGGCCTCATTTCTTACAAAAATACAAAAAAGGCAGTAACTAATATACATTATAACCATATCTCCTTGGAAAGCAGTCTTGCAACACCTTTCAGTATCATAACTAAAACAATCCTCTTTTATTTATATATCAAAAAAATGGTTTTCCTATACAGATAAGCTAGTCTGTCATTTTTCAGTCTTTCACTTAAGCAAGAAAAAGAGCAGAAAAAACCAGAGATATCCAAAGGCATAGACTCTATGGGCAAGTGCAGCATCTGAAACTGGTTTTCACATTATAGAATATATTAGCCTAATCACCTATTTATCATTATTTGCACAGAGGTTATCTGATGCAAGACAAAGGTAGGACAACAAAACTCTTCTGAAAGTCAAATTTGTCACTTAACTTGTGATTCTGTTCTTTGAGTAATTTATTTAGTCACAAATAATTACCACACCAAATGAAAGAAAAAGCTAGTAGTTTTCAACATGTGCTCTCCTATTGCTAATTCAGAATGTGAATACAACTGTTTTTTAAAAAAGATAGAGGCAGGAACACTTAAGGCAGAGCTTTGACAAATTAGGCAAGGATCTGACCTATTAAATTTTAAAAGCAAACTAGGTATGTTTAAATTATTACTCACAATGCTCAAGTGTTTGATTTAAAAGCTTACTGTTTATATTTTCCTACCATCAGCTGCCATTATCACAGTACAGTGGTCATGCAAATCAGCAATCTCTTCTTCAGACCAGCTATAAGGAGCTTCAGGATCTGTAACAAAGAATATGGTTTTGGTGCACTGGATTAAATGTCTCAAATGATTGATAGCTGGAAAAAAGAAAATTCTTAAGTCCCGTGGTCATCTGCTACTCCATAAACGGAGCACTCCACTGAAGGTAAGTCAAAACCTCCCTCTATTTGTTCTCTGAAGTTCCGTGCAGTCCTTTGCTTTCTCTGCATTATGCCCAATCCTCCCAAGGCTGACTGGCAAGAGTAAGTTTTCTTTGAGTTTAGAACCAATTACTACTGTAGTGAGATTATGGATTTAACTAGATTAAAATAAATACTGCTTTAAATAAAAAAAACAAATGCATCTTTATGTAAGTTTTGATTAAGCTTCCTACTTCATCACACTTTTTAAAATTTAGACTTTGTTAAAATACAGAAACTTTCTCTGAAAGCCTAAAAAACATAAAGCCTTTTCAACAGACAGTATCAAATATTTTTATTAACCAGAATTTTCTGAGGTCCAGGAAAGGCTTTTGAATGCATAAAGCATGTTTCCGCTTGCTTAAATAGTTGTTTTACTTTTTAGAAGCATTACATCAAATCCAACTGATGATATAAAAATCTATAAAGTAGGCTTCATATAACCAAGTGCTACAATTTTTTGTTGACCTTGCAACCACTAGAAAGTTTTAGTGATCTGCTTTACTATCATTAATTGCACTTCAAATGTACCTCAAGTTAGTTGCCTTTATTCTGCTAAAAGCAGCAGAATACATTCCCTTGGCAAATATTTATAATATAACACATTCACCACTACCTTTGGAACAGGTGTTTATACATCTTCAAATCATCACCTACCTTCCCCACCACCTTTTATAGTTTTGTATTCATGCAGTCATAAGCCACACAATACCTTCACATCAGAATCTGGATTACAGTAACTCAAATCCACGTCATCGTGCCTGGATTCCATTATCACCACATAACAGACACATTGTGTTTGCATCTCTGGATTTTGACTTAAGTAAAGAACAGCCACCACTTGTTTATTCTCAACCTGTCAGTAAACTCTTCCTTACTCATTCACATGGCAATGATGCACTCAAAGACAATCGTGTACTTTCAACTATTTTTCCAGAGGCGTGTGTGCTGGAAGACTTACTTCATAAACAATGGGATGAGCACTTCTTGATGGCTCTGAAAGGAAAAAAACAAAACAAAACAAAACACCAAACCCGATCTGAAAGGACTCATTATAAACACCCACCAGTGCAGAATTCATCTTTCAGCCAGTCCAGTTCTTTTACTTTAACTTCCCCTCCTGTGAGTGAAGAAAGACCACATCAGTCACAGATAGTCTTTCAGACAGTACCTAAGCAAAAGCAGAGTCAAAGTCTGTATTGAAACAAGTGATGAAGCTATATTATCAGGACATATGAAACAAGTAAAGTTGAACATCAAATCATTTACTGTACAAAACCAGTTACCCGCTCACAAGAGAACAGAATAAACTTAAGGGTCAGACAGACAACCTATGTTCTCTTTTACATGTCTCCCTTGCAAAATACTTCTCCTTTCCAGAGGTCTACCTCTGTCTTTTGCACTCTATTTACGTGACCCTTGGCACTTGGATATCTGTGATCCTCCCAAGTAACTCAGTGAAACTCACACAATGACTGTGTAGGAACTACAGCTGGTCTTAACTGCTGACCAGAGAAAGACTAAGTATAAGAGTAAGCTCTTCTCAGAAGGAAGCTGTCTCATTATGGACCACATAGAGATATCTTGCATCTTTCTTTTTAAATGAGTCACTTTTAACCAAGACAAAAAATTAATTTTACTTGTGAATATGCTAGGTAGTCAATGACTGCACTGTTTAATCCCAAAGCAGCTCATATATAGGTAACTGCACAAACACTGACTGTATGGCACTTACTTCCTGGCTCCATCAGGTGTTTGTTTAACATAACATTTTGCTCACACATGGTCAGAAGATCTTCACCAACATCTGGAAAAAAGCAATAATGATATTCAAAATAAGAGTATTTTGCATGGGCCATGCATGCCCCTGACCTCTCAGACTAGTACTCCAAGTTTCTCTCAAGCTGATGAGATTAAGGAAAATTCAGAGCAATTCTATCCACTGGTGATTGCTTCCCTAGTATCTTTCTTGCTTTTGTCTTTCAGTACTAAGCTCTGAGCCACCCCTGAAGAAAGAATTTAGACCCCTATACTACCTATTTTAATTTATGCACACTATCTTGAGTACACAGCAATGCATTTTGCTTTTAAACTCTTGTGCTTAATAGTACTACTTTTTCATCTGTTGAGAAAGTTCTTGTTATTTTTCAATAAACAACAAAACTTTATACGCATTAATAAAAAATTAACTAAAACTGAAGAGCTGAGGATGACAATCCCAGGATGAAAGCAATGCTTTGTGAAGTTTCATGAAAATATTTAACTGAAAATAACTGCCTTACCTGTGCAATAAACTCTCTTGGCAACTGTTCCCATAATAATGCTTGTAATTCCAGTGCCACTTCCAAGCTCTAGCACTGAGCAACACCTGAACATGTCCCGTTTAAATAGAATGTAATCAGCAAGAAGAAAGGCGGCACGCCAGACCTGTGGATAAGAGCAGCAGTTAAAACTAAGTAAATTCCAAAGCACAATCCATGAACAGCAAGATACTACAAGGCAGAATACATACTTGTTTACCAACATCTTCTAAGGGGGTTGCCATTGTATGTTCTGTGAAAATGAAAGTAGAGTAGAAATAATTATCTCAAAATGTTGTCCATAGTGGCAAATTTGAAAATCAAGTCATGCTTCCCTTTTAAATATAGAACTAAATACTCTTCATTCTATATAATAATGCTAGATAATGCTGAAAACCCCACTTTAACTAAGGATCACCGAGTTTCCTGTGGTATACTATTGCCCAAATCACTTCTGGAAAAAAATGGCAAATTTTTAAGATATTTACAATATCACAGTATTATGTTTGTTTTATTACCTCCTTTCACTCAACAAGTGCTGTTCCATTTCTAAAGAAAACCTATTTTTCTTTTGTTTTACACAAACGTATTTATTCCATTTCTCCTTGACTGTAAGCCTACTGTTTACCTATTTTAACAACATCACTGCAAGGGCATTCTTGTTCTTCATCTTCAAAAGCATCTTCTTTCCCTTTCATAAGAATTACAGGATACACTATATCCCTCAAAAGATCCTCCGCTTCTAAATCAGAGGCACTGTGAGGTCTTCTGACCACTTCCAAGTCTCCGTCATCGTCTAGCAGAGCTTCTACGCCTTCACTATTTAATCCTCTTTCTTTTTTTAGATTATTCCTGTCCTTGTCACACAGTTCATCTCCACTTCTGTACTGGTGTTCTCTTTCTGTTGTAGCTCCTCTCACATGTTTCTCAGATGCTGAATCTTCTGTGTTCCAAAGGATTTTGAAATATGACAGGAATACTATAAGGACACACACAGCAGGGGGGGGAAGTTAGACACCAGGTAAGAACAGAATCTATGCACAACTTCTACATGCATGAAATTTTTGTATGCATTTCACATATTAAAAATCTAGAGGACAAAAAATCATACAGATAACTTGAAATATAGTTCAATTTGCTATGAAGAAATATTTCTGTTACTAAGTTCTGTCAGTAGAAATAAATGAATCACTTTCACAGTCTACTGGCTGACTCAGCATCTACTCAGTCACAACACACACTTCCATCTGATTTAGTAACACTTATTTTAACAATTGGCAGAAGGGATTGTTTCTTACACCCTCCAAAAGATCTTCTGTTGAGACAAGCTCAAACCAAGTTGAAAGAAGAATTAATACAGGTTAGAATTTGTTTATTTCAGTTAAGATTTAATTCCTATAAGAAACAAACATGTTCTAGTAAAAAGCAAGTAGTTCTTTTTATTGTTTTAAAAGTCTTTAGGAATTCAGGCAACTTCAAGCCTTGAAATAAGCTTAGTATGACAGAGTGCAAATAAGCTCACAGGAGACAGCTTGCTGAAGCTGGACATGCTGACACTTTTTTTTTTTCCTTAAAGTCTTCAAACTGAATCTTTGACAAGATTAAATGAATACGACCACTGTTCTCAATAAACCAGTTAATTAAAAACCTTTTGCAACCATCATCCAGTGACATCAGCATCTATTAAAAATCTTAAGTTATCCAAACATGGACCTTGCAATTTTAATTACAGGAATCTGTATTGTCTGAATAAAACACATGAGGAACAACAAACATTTGTCCTTCCATCTACAGTTGTTCCCAACTCTACAGCAGTGCTTACACACTGTGCTTGACTAAACAGGCCAGTCATGGAATGCAAAATCATGGAATTCGATTCAGCTACTCTGGTATGAAATCAGTTTTTGTAGACATCTTAGGCTGGGTACTATTGTTCCAAAATCACACACAGTGTGTTGAGACTTGCGAAAAAGATAACCAAGAATACAACTAGTGAAAGATTCCAGCAAGATTCTAAGAATGCCTTAGAATTATGTTCATTCACACCAAAGGGGAAGAGATAAAGTGCGTACCACCATTGCTTTCAACAATTCCACAATTTATGGAGTCCTATTCCAGTTTCTTTAGAAAGCAAGATATTCAAAGTTGGTCTACTGTAACCTGAGAGAAGTCCTTCTCCAGAAAGACCATTTTCAGCTAGATCTAATAAAATCCTAATTGCCTATCCTAGCATGAGAAATTTTTTAAGTCTTCCACTGTCTGCCTGACAACATGATTAAACTGATTTGAGTATTTAACAAATTAAAGGACGCCATCAATGAATGAAATGCTTTTGTTCTCCAAGTCCACTCTGATCCTCTGCACAGTGTTTCAAAAGGTGTAAGATAAAACTGACCCAAAGCAGCACAGACTAAACCCCCAAGAGGTTCCCTAAAGCCCAGCAAAGTGATGGTGGTAAACTGTCGTTGTATTTGTTACAGGAAAAGCTGTCATAATACAATCCAATTCTCGTCTTAATAAATAAAGGAATTTCCCAGACCAAGTACATTCAGAGTAGGTAGCACATGCTGTCATTTCATTCTGTTGAAAGGTTCTTTGCATCAAGCAAAATTACAGCAAACAAATGTTGAACAGCATGAAGACAGACCACAACATTAATTACCTGGTACTGACCTGATCAGGGTCAAAATTATTACCCACTTCTTTGTCAAGCCTACTTTTATAATTTTTTACATTGTCATATGCTAGAATAGCTGAAAAAGTTTTTCTTTTTATGTCACAACTGGGTTTGAAAAAACAATTAACACTTCTGTCACAGCAGAAGCAGTACTTTTCTACAGAATGTTTTACCAGCAGCTTCAAGGTCAGTTTCCCTGACAACTTTATAGAAACCTACAAGCTGGCAATCAGAGGCATTTGACAATTAATTTCCACTACAGCCTTGACTTTTCAAATTATCTGTCAGTCAAAACCATTGCTCTTCTGAGCTTTCTTGTTGCCAATTTTTTTAAAACAAACAAGAAAAACCCAAAGCTGTTAGGCTCCTCTGGAATAGATGGTAAATCAAAATTAATTACTGATAATTTTTATTTTAAACTTAAGTTACACTATTTAAAACCCCTGGCTTCTCAACTTTTCTTTGTATGCAACTTTTTAACATGATTCACAGACTGCTATATTGAGATTATAGCTAAATGAACAAATAAACAAATAAAATTAAATCTGCAAGCAAGTTCATTTGGTTACTTCTCAGAAACTAATTTAAGATTTATTTTTTAAGATAGGCTGCCTACAAATTCTACATTAACAGTTTTCATTTCTGTAGTTAATTTCATGAGGATGATCCAGCTAGCCCTCCTCCTAACAACTGAGTAGGAAGTGATTCTGCTTCTAACTGGAATAAAATATGTAATGATTAATATCAACCATTCAAAGGAGGATTCAGACATTACAAAGATATGAATACAGTTAAAATATAGCTCCATCAGTCTAAACATACATTACCTGGTTGTCCAACTGCATTCAATCGTACCATGAGATGTCTTTTGTTTGGATAGTGTAAGTGAACATCAGAAAGTACAGTGTCACTTTTAAATGTGGCGTTATCCATCTCCTCCTCTGTTACATCTACCATGATGTGCTGGTGAGAGGAACATCTACAGTACCCAAATAGTCCACTATGAAGAGCTGTCACAAAGTGACATGATACTCTTCTATTAACTGACATCAAATAACAGTTTTGCTCAGCAAGATAACCTCATGGCATAGTTTCTGAGAAGACCTCAGGCAATATGTGACCATGCAAGCTCCACCATGCTCCAATAAGACAGCAAGTTGCGCATCAGGATATTCAACCTAAAACCAAACACAGACAGCTTTGAGTGGCATCCTGGTACTGTTTGAACATTGCCCCAGCAATATTTTAGAAGACAAAAATCAGATTACACTGTCCAATAAAATGCTCCAATGCTCTCTTTTACAACGCTCCAAAGACTCATCAAAGACATAATTGCCAGTAGTTCACTGGCAGACTTGGCGTATTTTAGGAAGAGCTACTAATTAGCATGTGTTAAAAACACCCCCACTGAAAAAAACAGATGTTATAGTGCACACAGAGGCTTACAATACTAAGTCAAGGTCTTCAAAGGAACACAAGGCTTTGTGTGCACAACTTCACCATTTTAAGAGATCTTGTTCTTCATAGGAATGTCTGAGTTTTCCCAGAAATAGACACAATTACCAAATGTATTATCATAGGTCAATCCCCCAAATTTTGTAAAAGGAGTATCTGCCCTTCCTGAAGAAAATTCAGCTCCTTTTATATGCCTCCACTAATCGGGCAGTTAATGTCTCCTGTCTTTGGTGCTCTTTATTCTTCCCCAGAAAAGAAGATATGAACACCTGAAATCATCCTCATTACCTAATGTCCAAGGCTAAGTTGTCTCTCTGTCCTAAGGTACAAACAAATGAATTACATCTTATGAACAGAAAAATAAAGAGAACAGTTATTTCCCTATGTTCCACAGAACTTGAAATTTTGTGAAGGGTGAAACAATGACAAACCATAGATCTGAAAGCAAAATCTGTGTTGTTAAAAACTGAGATGACAAGCTTCGATCACACATAACCCTTATGTAAAAACCGGTGATGCCATTTCCTACGTTGCCACTAACATACTGGAAGATCAAGCTAAATTTTCTATTATCTGATTGTGCTTGAACAAGATTGTAAATATATAGGCATATAGGCTTGAAACGCTTCAAGTTATACAGGCAGCCTTCATAACTTTAGTTACCAAGTTCTATTAACTTGTGCAAAACCCAATCCAGCCTCCAAACCTGCCCTTTGCCACCAGAAATCAGTGCA